ATTCCAGGCATGGTTTTGGCACAGCGTATGTGGTCACTCTCTTGCTCTGGTGCCTTTAATCTGGCTCTTTGCGTGGCCTGTCTGACACCAAACCTTGCCTGTCCTTCAGCGGCAAACCCCGTAACTCTTTCTGGCTCTAGTATTTGATTTCTTCAATACTTTCCCAGTATGGAAATACTCACCAGACCCTGAACTTTTTAATCTGTTTCTAGTCTTGTGATCTCTCTCGTATGCTAACTTTAAAAAAGTGCTTGCATATTAATAGAACCCTACCCGAGGTGTGGAGCCTCTCTTTAGCAGCCTGATTTTACTTTTGATGCCTATAACAGGTGCTGGTTTAATAGGTTTGCTGTGTTTCAGCTGGGTTTTTTTCCTTTGTGAGCCCAGCCAGCTCTGTAAGCTGACCCGACATGAAGGCCAAGCTTGTGACTTCTCTCTCTCTTCACGCCGCACATTTGCGCTGCAGACTCGCAGCAGCAAGGGCTGCCTTAATTCAAGCTTTGTCTGAAGCGGGAGGTTTTGTGCTGATCGTGGTTAAATCGCTCCGACCAAAGCCCCTCGTACATTCCCATCTGAGGGTCCGCTCGCTTTGATTTTCTGCTGTCAGCTTTCTCAGGGCAGCTGCTGAGAGGAGGTGAATGTGGCTCAAACAACAAAGCAGCACGTTTAGCACTGATTTCACACGAGTGGTTTGAAGCCATGGTCTAAATTGAACTGATCAGTGTTCTCCAAAGGCCAGGCTCGCTGCAAAGAGGAAGGTGAATTCTTCTCCTATTAGGTCTAGTGGAAAATGTTTCACAGCTTGTTTATCAAATAAATATTCGCAAAGACGCTTCGAACGAGGAAACCCACCGGGATTAAAGTGTAACATTACCTCTACAATACAAGCTGATATTCCTGGAAATGCTGCAAGCTTTTGACTTTGTGCCACCTGTTGTTTTCCTGCCACCCCCTTCGGCTCTCTCCTGACTTAGAGCAAACCCAAACACGCTTTGGCTTCACTGGAACATTTTGCTTGTTTTTCTGTCTCGCAGCAGCCCGGAGGAGCGCAGAGCGAGCGGTTGCTTCCTGATGTGGTCCTCACGGGTTTGGTTCAGCAAGGAACTGGCAGAGGTTAATCCAAATCTCCCGTAATCCTGAGGGCTCTATTCAAGAGCAGTGCAAAGTGCAAGGACTAAGGGGCTGCAGTACCTCGGGGTGTTGACCCGAGTGGCTTTCCTCAGCTCTCCTCTGTCAGTTTTCGGCTGTAGCTGGTGCTGACCTGAGGGCAAAGGAGGTCCTGACCAAGTGCTGTAGGTATGCAGCTTGGTGTGAAAGTAAATCCAGTGCTGGCTTGGTGTTACCTTAGTTTGGTGCTGAGCTGTTACAGTTCAAGAGCTGTGTTAGCTGCAAATGTCTCTGGGAGTGAGGTTGGCTATGAACTGGGAAGTTCAACTGTTTTAGCCAGATCCTCTCATATTCATGAGCAAACCTCAATGGAGGTTTGGTTCCTATTCTTTTTCACTTGAGCTGCTTTCACTGCAGATCCTTAGTCCTTGGTGAAGGCAGTCCTGCAGCATCACATTTCAGTAGTGTATGCCCGTACAATTGGGTAAACTAGAGGTAGAGAGGGGTTAAGAAACTTGCCCAAGGCAGATGAGTCAGTGCCAGAGCTGGGAATAGAAACTGAGAGACTTGGCTCCTGCTCTGGCTCTAATTGCTCAATCTCACATTGAAGCCCTGTCATCGTATACTCTTGAGGTAACCCTGGCTGAGATGGGGAAAGCTGTTTCCAGGTTGTGATACTGAAGGAGTGGGCAGAGGAAAAGGCACCTGGAGGCAAATTGCTTGTGGAAGCACCTATAATTTGTGCTTTAAAGCCTGGTTTCGGCAATTGGTACTAGAATCTGATCTGTCACTTTTGAAGCCAAGGAAGTGTAAACTAAGGAGCTAGTTGGGAAAAATCCAGCCCTTTTTCCAGTCACTCATGACTAAAGGGGAGAGGCAAAGTCGTAACGTCACTGGGCCTAAAACACCATTGCAACGAGATCGGGAACAAAGGCGGAGGAGCTGGAAGGGTCCAAGTCATAACAGGAAGGGTTAAATCACATTTCAGCTCTTACTGAAAGACTGAAAAAGAAAATGTAATCAAGCTAGTGAAACGTTTGGCCGATGCTGCGTTCATATCGCACGCTGTGTATAGGAAAAGTCAGCCGAGCTGGTTTTGTTTGAAGTGCAGTCCTTTGAGAGGGTGCAGTGCTGCGCAGCAAACTGGCTGACATTCCCCAGCTGGGACTGGCTGGAGATGGTGTTTGGAGCCGAGAGTTACATTTGGAGTCTGCCCATGTTTGAAGGAGACAGAGAGAGAAAGGAGCCTGGTTTTTTCCTGTGTGAAATAACGCATCCATCTGAGCTGCCAGCTGTAGCACATGAAAAGCAAGAGGCAAATGGACAGAAGTCACCTGGAGACTGCAAACACAGCTCAAAGTACTTCTTTCTTGTCCTTTTCTTCCCTTTGTAAAGTCTTGTCTTCTGGGATGGGCTGGGAGATCTGGCAGGCAGGCAGACTGGATACACATTGAGCAACTAAAGCACAGAAATATTAATACTAAAATAAAATCACATTGGCTTCCGAAGAGCACTTCATGTCCAGAATCTGTCTGTGCTCTCAGTCCCTCGCAGACTCAGCTGCCCTGCGCAGGGATTGTCAGGTAATTTATAGATTCTCCACGTTCGTTTGTACAAGCCTTCATTTCCTGTTAATTTATGGCCAGATTCCTCTCGGCCATCACAACGCAGATGAGATCACGGTTGAACTCTCAGCCCCTGCTTCAGGAGAGCTCCGGAAAACATGCTTGGGGTTTGCTTTCACTTACGTCTGCATTGAGGTACCTTCCTGAACTGGGGTCACACACGCATTTAAGGGACTCTCTTGAGAAGGAAAGAAGAGTGAATTTTTGAACTTGCTGATTCTACTAATCGAGTTCATTGCAAAAGAAACCAGTCCTTGGGGAAGAGAAATTCTCCTCACCCATGCGTTCAGTTTATGGAGGTCACAAAATTCTGGGCATAGTGAATTTTCCTGTACTTTAGTCTCACTGTAGTATAAATTCACTGGACCTCTGTTCCACTACGTGCATGGGTGTGAAAAGTCAGTCCTTATTTCTAGCAGTCAGTGAATATTGGTCAGCTGGTTAGTAGCCATATCATTGCTTTTTATACAGTTTGTGGTTGTGGAGACCTCTAACCCCTGGAATAACCAGTTGGGGGAACATAAGTTATGATTTTCCTTTGATTTTCGGGATGCCATTTTGCATCACATTAGCAGCACACTGCTAGAGTGGTGTAAAATTTGTTCTTAGTGTTTTGTGAGCCTGCACTGAATTAATTAAGGAGTAATTAAATGATTTAGTTAAAGCAGCGTTTCTGCGACTGTTTCCCCCATGTAAGCGAGGGTCAGTACTGGCTGTTTAAAGGGCGACTCTCCAGCAAGCAAATAGTTCTGGGGATGCAGTTTTACCCTCTCCCTGCTACAGACACCAGTGAATGCGGTGGTGAAACAATCTGGTTTTAATAACGGGGAGGGTGAAGGAGGGGATCATGGTGCGGGGAGCAGGTCCCTTGCCTTGTGCTATTGGGATCTGAGGTTTTCTTTGGAAGCGGCTTGTCTGAACCCCTGGGGCTGGAGAAGCCTGGCTCCTCCAACCCTTCCGCTCCAGTGCCTGCAAGGCTGTGGTCAGCTTATCCCGCAGGTTTTTGTTTCAGATTGCCGATGCAATGTTGGGAGAGCCAGGACGTCCTGGTTTGCATTCAGGAGTGCTTTCCCTGGCTGCTGTCTCTCCTCCTGGTTACTCAGGGGGTTACCGGCCAGATTCAGGCACAGGATTTATCTGAACCTTCTCTCCTATCTCGTATTATTCAGCAAGTTCTCGGATGTCTGGTGAGCGTCTGTGTTTGGAGTGCCTCACTCGCAGCCTTGCCAGTGATATCAGTGACTGGTCTAAATTCACATCAGGCACGTGCTCCACTTCTTGTGACTAACGCGCCGTGTATTTATGTAATTGGTTACTGTTCCCTCTACTGATTCAGGCCAGAGAGGGAGTCAGAGGAAAGGACTCAGGGGATTTTTAGTTAGACCTTGCTCAGTACAGCTGAGGTCTAGAGGTATTTAACTGTTTGATGGCCGCAGAAACCCTGAGAACAGCCTGTAGTGCCTTCTCTAAAGAAAAACATCAGCTTGAGTCCTTCAGACTGGCACTGGTACGGCAGCAGACAGCAGTGGTTATAGAGTTTGATCCTGTAGTCAGTGCTTGGGCAGAGCACTGGCACTGCAGAGCTGTCCTAACGCTACAGTTGGACAGAAGTAGCAAAAATGAGGAAACATTTGCAAGAACGTTTGCAAGCCCTTTTACAGTATTTCTGTCTATTACAAATCATGGTAACATAGTCTAAAGCTGGGAGTTTTCAGAAGAATCCTCAGGAGTTACAGAGATAACGTTTTGTAAGTTCTGCTGAGAGCATATTTACTCATCTGTGTCCTATCCTCTGTGTAAACCATTGACAGGTAGCTTAAACCATTGATCAGTGCTCCTTGCCTGTGGAATTAAAATCCATAAACCACTGATTGGTACTCCTTGTCTGCAAGATTAAAATCCAGCCCTGCAGTCCTTGCATGTAACAAATCCATTCTGGAAGTGCAGACTTGTATGAGACCAAGCCCAGATTGCTGGAAGAAAAACTGATGAACGGAGTCAGTAATCCTATAGAAGGAAAACGTCTTGTAGCACACCAGGAGAAGTGTCTGGAAGCTTGCAAATCTCTGTGAGCTCGCCCCTCCAGCCATAGCAACACCACAGAGATTAGGGAAGATCTCTCTGGTGTGGGTTTCTCCTCCATCAGCTGTTGAAACAGCACTGCAAGTCTGAGTGTGTGAGCTCAGGGACCAGCCTGCTGCAGCCTTAGGTATCTCTGGTTTTCCAAGAGACCTAAATTGTCTCTGTTTCTTCTCCTGACTGTTTCAGGCATCACAACAGGATCCGCAGCGTTGAAGCAAGCCAACTGAAGCCCTACGTTGCCCTGGAAACGTTGGACCTGAGTTTCAATGACATCATGGAAATCCGAAACGGCTGCTTTCCACAGGGACTTCACATAAAGGAGCTGTGAGTTTGTCTTTTTGGGAACAGCTTTTGTTGAGTTACTACAGCAGAGAAAAGGGCCTCAAACCTGCTATAAAAAAAGGGGAGGGCATGAACATATGAAGTATGGGGTTATTTGTCAGGATTGTAAGTGCAAAGGAGAGTTAGAAGGCAGCACGTTGTCACTACTGTCAGGTTACTCCTTGAGCTCTGTCTTTTTGATTCTGATGTATCTGTAAAGAATGCACATTATTATTATTATTAATTGACATAATAGGGATGTTTGCCTATTCAGGGAAGCATAAGATAATCTGTATTTTAGGAAGAGATGCAGACAGATCATCTGCTTGCATTAAAGTTTGTGGTTCTAAGAGGATGTGAGAGAGTGGTGTTGTGACTGATGTTTGCCTGTTGTCCTGTAAAAACAGCCTCTGTGGCAAAGATGAGGGTCTAAGTAAGACCCTGGGACAAATGCTGAGGGAAAAATGGGGAATAAATAAGAGTTGTCCTGAATATTCTCAGATTTCTGGCTTCCACTCCCAATTGCCTTGCTGAAGTAAGAGGGTATGGAGGAGCTCTTGGGAAGTGCTCAGCACATCTCGACATTGGTTACATGGCTCTAGGACAGGCACTGTGATCTTTGTGCAGCCAGAAATCTCACTGGTTTGAACCCATGTCTGTAATTGCACCAGCCTGTCTGGAGACTCAACCAAATGCTGATAAAAGGAGATTTCTGACAGAACTGTTCATTTTTCTGCTGTGATTTATTGCAGCTACCTGGGGAGCAACAGAATCAGCACCTTGGAGCCTGGTGCTTTTGATAGTCTGTCACGATCCCTGCTAACGCTTCGTCTGAGTAAAAACAGGATCACTCAGCTTCCTGTCAAGGCGTTCAGGCTGCCCAGGCTAACACAACTGTGAGTAGAAATGTGCACTTTAATTAAGCTCAGCCACACTTTATGGTGAGAAAGTGTCCCTGAGGATATACACACGAAATGTCACCCTTTCTCACCTGCTGTCTGTAAAACTTAGAATACACTATGCAGTAGTCCTCTGCCAGCACCTAGTAAAACACGTGGGGAGAGGGTCTTTTTTGTCTGGTAACTTGTTTTTTCAGGCTGTCAGGTGGGAAAGGAGGGATGTTGCAGCAGACATCAGCATCTGTACACCTGACAGCGTAAGACAAATCCATTCCCTTGAAAGCTGCTGGTGTCTGTGGTGTAAGAGAGGTTTGGTAGATATTTCTGTTGCCAGTGACACAGCTCAGCTACCACATTAGTTTTTCAGGACCACACAGGTGTCTTTATGTGGCAATAAAAAAGCAATGAGGGAAGGTTGTTAAACTGTGTGGTGATATTTAGGAAGGGAAAGCAGCACTTTAGTTGAGTTAACAAACGTTGTTGTCCTGCCTGCAGTCTGTATGGCAGGAGCTGCATGGGGACACGTAGATGTGACAAATCCTTAAGCCAAGGTGTGTCTAAGGATTGGGGGTGCTTGCATACATGTAGGACGTATAGCAAATTTGGGATTGAACGCTGGCACGATAGCATATGCATCTCGAGTCTGTGGCCTCTCAGTTTTGAGTTTACTGAGAGCTTGTAATCCATTGTGTTCACCTGTATCATATGCAAAACTGTAATAAAATGAGGGTCAACTCAGTCTGTTTAGGAAAGCAGTTTTCACTGAAGGTTGGAGTAATTGGTGCTCTTAAAGACAGTCTCACAGCTGGTTGTTTATAGCTAAACAGGAATGAATTGCAAGTTATACAGGCTCAGAGTGCTGTAGAATTTGTGTACAGTTCTTTTCCTGGTACAGCGCAATTCACTCGTAACCTAGGAAGTGCAGAAAGGCAAGAGTCTATGCCTGCAAACTTTTTAATTGGTTACTTGACTTTAATTGCAGTCGAGTGCAAGCTCAACATTGGTTTTTAGGCAGTTAAAAAGTAAGCTTGAAGTTTCTATGGGTTCCTCATCTTTTCCAAAACAAGTTCTGATGTTGTAACCTCCACCATTTTCTTCAGCACAAGCACTTAATAGGGAGCTACTCTTAGATGAGTTTTGTATGTGCAGAAAGATGCCTGTTTTAAGAGCTTCAGCTTCAGTGCATTGCATTCATGAAGTTTTCTACCAGCTTTGTGGAACTGGGTTTTCACCTGGTGTGTCTGGGTCTGCCAGTCCATAAGATTGTTTGGTATGGGTTGGTAAAGCATGCTGTGATGGTGTTTCTATTGCTATTCAGAAAAAAAGTATTCCCAAAATTTAGGGGTTCCTCCCCCTGCAGGGGAAGAAAAGAAAAATAAAGGAAAAGAAATTTAACGAATGAAGCTGGAGGTCTTTGTATACACAAAATACTAAGACTGTCTTGTTATTGGAAACAACTTGTTTCGCTCTTTATTAGTTGTTATAATAGGAAAAAAGGTGAAATCTGTTAGGGGAACTGAAAGCTTTCCTTTCAGACTCAGCCATAAAATTTCCTCTTGGGCTCAGTTCTTATGGCACCCGCTTGTTTCAGAGCACATTCAGCACAGGTCCTGTAAAAACAAGGGATTATGAGGGAACTAATGCTGATACTTAACCGTATTCAAATGGTGTCTCTGCTTGAGAGAGGATGAAGTGTGAAAATTGATGAAAAGGATAAATGGCTTAAAAGAAATGCGGAGAGAGGAGGGCTGAAGAGGAATTGCCTCCCTGTCTCTGTTATTTCCCTGTAGTGAGTTTATTTAGTGATCACGGATGCTGACTTCCCTGGCTGGCTGTGGGATTGAAAATTTCCGGTGCGCTTCTGCTCTCTCCTGGGAACCACTGACAGAGGAGTTGTTGGCATTGCTGTCCCCATTGTGTGCTGCAGAGATGATTTCATGAGAAAGGACTGAGAGTTAATAAACTTGTACGGCCTTGGTGATTTTTAGGGAGCTGAACCGGAATCGCATCCGCCTGATTGAGGGCCTGACGTTCCAGGGACTGGACAGCTTGGAAGTCCTGAAACTCCAGCGCAACAACATCAGCAAATTGACTGATGGGGCTTTTTGGGGTCTGGCCAAGATGCAAGTTCTGTAAGTTGCAGAGATGAGCTCTTTTCTCTTAAACAGCCTAGACTTCACCTGCTATCATGTCCCTCTCTGCATATTTTAGCAAAGACTCCCGTCAGAGCCTATTAAAGCTCATTGCTTTACCAGGTGGTCAATAAAAAAAGTCCTATTTTTTTAAGCTGTGGCATATTTCTTTGAAAGTTTGACGATTTGAACATTCAGTAAGATCTCAGCTGGTCTTTAAATAAAAGCTTGTGTGGCTTCTGCAAATTAATTTTGACTGATGCATAGAAACTCTGTGTTGCAGACCTGATTATTCTGCCTCTTGGGATATGTAGAAACCACACTGGTCTATCTCAGTGATGTGTTCTTTCCAAACCAGAGAGCAAATTGAATAGTCATTGCAGAGAAATTCTTGAAACTTCCAGTGTGATTCGCTTTCAAGTGTGTTTGTAAGGTCACAGGTGATCGAGACAGCGTGTTTCTGGATGCTGCTGTCAACAACTGAGACTCTGCAAACAGAAACTTGAATGGGATGCTTTAAGCCCAGTTTACTTACAGTGGAGCATACCTCTGAGTCACAGCTCGTTCTGGCATTTCCTTCATGTTGTCCTTAATTTCTGTCCTTTGCTTGCACAAGAAATACCCACACATGCATGTACCCACATGGGTATGTAGAGAGGTGTGTAGGAGTGGCCGAAATCCCAATCCTTGTTGGAAATTCTTCAGCATTTCACCAATTTACCTGTCAGTTCCTTCTGATTTTTCTCCACAGCCACCTGGAGTATAACAGCCTGACGGAAGTGAACAGTGGCTCTCTCTATGGCCTTTCATCTCTGCACCAGCTTCACCTCAGTAACAACTCCATATCCCGCATCAACCCCGATGGCTGGAGCTTCTGTCAGAAGCTGCACGAGCTGTAAGTTGGTCTGTGTTGGGGTTGGTTGGGCAGGGCTTGATGCTCGTGTAACACTGGCAGAAAAGGGGAGAGAGGATTTTTCCTGTTGTATCAACCTGTAGAAATGCAGAAATTGCAGCTTCCTAAGTGATGCCTGTGTTACTCATGTTATGACCTTCAGAGCACCTGATTAAAATACGTTTGCACCAGAAACAAAGACTGGAACCCACTAAAAGTATACAGTGCCAGAAGACCTGGAGAGTTTGTGATCTACGGCTTGCCAACGCTTTTTTAGCTAGCTGGTTACAAGACATGCACGGCTTGCCATGTAATGACTGTACAGTCTGAAGGAAGCTTTGCTTTATCCTCTGTATTTACAAAGAACAATCCTGTTTTTATCCAGCAGAGATTTGGCCCTTTAGAGGCAGTGCTCCTTGTTTCTCCCATTTACACTTTACCCTTCCTGTAGAGCTCAGTTGTTGAAAAGTAAATACATTGACTCTGCTCTCCTGAGATTTCCAGCTGTGAATACAGCCTCTTTGATAAATGAAAGAAAGCCTTGCTGCTGAGGACAGCCCCACAAGAGTGCCTTTTGGGTCTGTGGCACTGCTATAATGCCTTTTTGAGGAGACACACATGGGCGCTTGCAGTATTTACAGAAGTAGCTGTCATCCCCTCGGTGGGACTGTGGAAAGATTCACTTTTTTCTTTGGAGAGCTTGACACATGTGGTTAGCGGAACTGTAATTCATCCTGCTTGGTGCTCGGAAATCCCTTGTTCAACATTGTTAGGGATTCTCCTATCCACCAAAAAGCAGTACGGTAAAGCAGCTTCCTGCTTTCAGAGGCCTCACTCTAGACTCAGACTAAAGGTTGGTATCTGCCTACCCAGCTGTGAGTCTTCTGGGATGCGGATTCAGAGATAGGTGGACATGGCACGTCATTCCTTTAAATTTAGTAGCTGTAGAATTAACATATTAGCCCAGTGACCACTTGTGATTTTCTCTTGAATCCAAATCATTCATTCAGATGTAGATTATTTTTGTGGGGCAGAAGGAAATATTTTAATTTCTGTTTTAGTCAAATACATTTGTGATAGTTTAATTACCTAATTTTTCAAATTGCTGTGGAACTGCCCATGCCTAAAGGGCTCCTTTGCTTGGCACACTGCTGTAGACAGCTACAGTTCCTTCCCGTGCAGATCCTCAAGTGATATTTCACTAGATTAATGTAATGTCAGTGGAGAAATCTGCAGGGCAACAGATCAGAATCAGCACTGTGCTCCACCTGTGCTCTGCTTACATGTGAAGCATCAGAAAAGGGGAGTGTGCCTTCCTAAGGCACTTAGGATAACCCAATTCAGATCACTGCACTGGGTCAGTAGCACAGCTCTGGGTGTGTTCTGCTCTCAGGGACCCAGTATCTGGTGCCCGTGTTGAAGTCTTTTTTCAGCCTGGGGTCAAATGGGTTGGGTGAGCCCCATCTGTGTCTTGCAGAGCTGACATCAGTGCTCTTTTAGGAAGAACTATGCTTGTCTTTTCTACCTGACACTGTCTTTGCAAACCCTCAAGGTTTAGAGGGGAGGTTGCATGTCATACAGCCCTTTATTTGTCAGGGATGGATTGGATCTCTTGCCAACAAGAAATGCTCATGGAGAGCTGTACTGGCTTAGAGGCCATCCTCGGCAGTAACTGCAGAAACCCAGTGCAGGACTCGCTTGCCCTGGTGCAGCATGGAGCAGATTTGGGAAGTGCCAGGTGGTGTGAGGTGGTGGGAGCCACTGGGGTGTGTTTGGCTTGACAAACAGGATTATGCTGGAGTGTGAGGCCAGAGACGACATCAGCTGAGATTCAAAAGGCGATTATGTGGGTGTTAGCACACATCTCTGCAAAATAGTACAAGCTCTTGCAGGTGTTGCCTTTAGGGTAAGGGTGCTGCAGGGAGCCATCAGATACTCCTAACTGAAACTCCCACAGCCAAAGAGCGCTTGTAGGAGAGGTCTGCTCTGAAATGGAAGGGTGAAGAAAGGGAGCACTAGATACATCTGGGCTGCCACGTCTTTGAATGTGTACGTTTCATTCCTCAGTAAAAGATCCTTGCTCACCTTCCTTGTTGCTAAATCCATTGGGTTTTGGCAGTCAGAAAACATGGTCTGTGGCTGTACAGAGAATGAATTTGCAAAGTCTTTGACCCAGGAGAGGTGGCCAGACCCCTGCTTGTCTGTGCTGAGGGAGAAAGTGGTCATCTGAAGGGTGAATTTTCTCTCCGTCAGTTATTGGGACAAAACGTGACCCCAAGGCTCTGGGCTGATGTAAAAGCTAACAAGAGGAAGACAGATGAGAAGGCAGGGGCGACAGCAGAGACCTGCTGACTTCTCTCAACCCAGATAATCCAAACTGCTGAGGAGGGGAATGCACTATTTTGCAAGTTGGCCTGTCCCGTTGGCAGGAAGCAGAGCCCTTGCGTGTTGAAGGAAGCCACTGCCAGGTGCTCTGAAACCTTCCACCTGGTTGCAGCTGTGGAGAGCCCTCTGAAGGCTGCTGCTGTCCTTCCATTGGAGGTGATGTCAGGACGAGAGGGGAACGTGCCTTCACCGGTTGTGGCAGGAACTTCTTGTGGAGAATCAAAAGGAACTATTTTTTTTTTATCTCAGCCGGTTTAGGATTACTTTTGAACACTTTTTTAAGCCAAATTCTTTAATCGCAGGTGAGGACATAATTTTGACCAGATGCCAGTTCTTCATAACTAACGCTACAACTTCTTTAGGAATGAAAGAATGTTGTCCCATACCTTCTTCAAACTCATTAATCGTTGCTGAATTTTTTCCAAAGCTTCCCCTCTGCCCACTCACAGCTAAAAGATAGACAGCTCGTTTGCCAAGGAAACGACACTCTCAGTATTTCGGAGTATGTATCTGTTTTGACTTAGGTTTTTGGCTTTGCAGTGGCTTTCATGCAAGCCCTAGACACATTTTTAAGCAGATTCACTAACAGGCAGTACTAGAAGAGGAATTTGGAGGTTTGGAACTTAGTGGGATTTTTTTTCTTGTCTGCACAATGAAGGATTTCAGTGCTTGCTCAGAGCTGCATAACTGCACTTCTTGAGAAGCTGAGCAGCCCAAACCCTCACATTTTTTGAAGTGACTTATTTTCAAAAACCTTATGCAACTGCCCTTTGTAAAGAGATAAGCTTGAGAAAATGTGAGCAGTGGCATGTAGCCGAGTGCCACGTTTTATACCCCACACGTCACTCTGCAGGCAACTTAAACCAAGTGTTAACTGTTGCTGCTCACACTCATCTGCCAGTGGCCCTGCAGGCCTTACCCAGCTGCAGTGACACCAGAGATGGGGAGGAATATCCTTGCAGTGGGGAGCTGTGAGTGGATGCTTCAGATCAGCAGTGACTGCCTGCTGCTGCCTCAGGGGGTCCTGATTTGATGAGCCTTAACATCAGCAATGCTGCAGCTTTACTGCTTGCCTACAAGGTGGTTGCATATTGTGTGAGGTGTCTGCAGTGGCTTGTGGCTTCCCATGCCCTGCCCTTGCTGTCAAATCTCCGAAGCCTCATCTGCACCCTGCTTTCTTCTTACCGGCTTCCAACCTGTAACAGGAGTAGCACTTAAAAACAAACCTCCAAAACAAGAGATAATACAGGCAAAGGGAAGAGATGGATGGAAAACTAGAAAAAATCCAACACTCCAGTATTAGTCACTTGAAAGTGGAGATTTCAAGCAGACCGTACATTCCTTAAGAAAGGAGAGCAGGAGGGAAGGTGGCTGGTTCACAACAGATACCTCCTTCCTGTGCATGAAAGGAAGCATTCAATTGCCTTGTGGTGAAATGCTTTTGGCTCTCGACTGGGGTGGAGCAGGCTGTGAAGATACCCACACCCAGACGCCTGGGGCTCGCTGTGCACAAGTGCAGAATGATAAGACAGAAATCTGGACCCTGCCAGGAGCGCGTGTGAACTGCAAAATCCATCTGTTTGACATCGCTCTCCACCTCGCAGAGTGTGGGGAAGAAGGGGACTGCTTTTTCCTGTAAGCCATGGGGGGAGTCCAAATGGGAGTAGGGATTGAGCACAACCAAGACTGGTATCTCTGGGTTACCTGTGCATCTGGGGACCGAGGGGGTGCTGGTGCTCCCAGGCCCTAACGTAGCCATACAGGCCATGGAGGAAGAGTAGCTTCTCCCCACCATAGCTGCCCTCTTGCTTGTTGGCTGATTGCTCTCATCCACCTCTGGAGGAGCCTCTCTCTGTTGCCTGTACAGAAGACTTCCCTAGAACGGTCTGCCAAATGCTTCCTGCTCCCTTACGGTCAGCCATGGGTATCTTGTGGGAATATTTGCAGACCGCAGTCTTATTTCCTAATCAAGCTGTTCTGTATCCACCCAGTACATGCTGTCTCTCCTGAGGTGGCCGTGGGAGGCAGGCACTGGTTGGCACAGAGGAGTTTGGAAAGTACTGGTTGGATTGACAAGGAGTGGTGGTGTTTTTTCCTCAGAATACTCTCTTACAACAACCTGACCAGGCTGGATGAGGGAAGCTTGGCAGAGCTCGGAGGACTGCACGTGCTACGCCTGAGCCACAATTCCATCAATCATATTGCAGAGGGTGCCTTCAAGGGACTCAAAAATCTACGTGTCCTGTAAGTTGCCTCCACTTCTGTCAGCTAACACCTATCTTCCCTCCACAGCTTGTGTCTGTGAAACTGTGTGCTTTGCAGTTGCTTTGGGTGCCTGTGTCTTCAATATCAAACTCCTCTACATGTTGCTTGGTTGTGATGCTACCCCATTATTCAACTTCAGTGATCTTGTATTATATTTAATAAAGAGTAGTTAGGAGAACTGCAGTTGGACTGCTCATCGTTGCAGGGTGCTTTCAGAGTAGGGGGCTCCAGAGTAAAATTATAGGAACATAGGACAGGATCCTGAATCCAGCCCAGCTGAGCAAAAATCCCTGAGGTTTCAGTTCTTCAGCTAATAGCAGAATTTTCTTGCTATCATATTGACTTTAGTTGAAATTCTTAGAAAAATTGACAGTTTCTGTTGGGTCATTCTGCACTCAGGAGTAGGAGGGAATGATTCCTTACAGTGACAGTGCTGAAATTTGAGTATCTTAAGTGTGCTATTGAGCATTTTTGTGTGCTGTTACTTCTTTTTTTAATTGATTAATAAATATAGAATCCTTGGCTAAGATGGCATTGATTAAAAAAACCCACAAATTCAGAGGTTGGGCTTGGGATCCGATTATACTCAAAATGTAACAACACATGAAACTTCACCCAGGCTTGGGTCCAGCCATGGGAGCAGGAAGCTGTTACAGGTACCATGACAGTAACCAGAAATCTTCCTGCAGAATTGGGCTCACAGAGGTCATGAAGTGTCCTGTTGCTCTGATTTTTGTGGTAACCTCTGAACAACAAGAAAGTTGCCGTGCCACTTTTTCAGGAGAAAAAGTTTCGTGTGCCCTAATACTGAATTGCAGAATGATGCACCCAGCGGTGGCTATGCCCATTTACCAGAGACTTCTGCATTTCGAAGCTACTGGCACAACGTAATACCTGGAAATGTCACACTGGAAATGAGAATCTCGCAATCTAGAAGACAGCAACTTGTAGATTTTAGAGCTATTAGAAGCCATTGGACAGATCAGTCTGACCTCCTGTGGGATGCCAGCTCTAGAATTGCACCGTTATACACTACGTAATGAGCCCAAGAGCTACATTAGATACCTCTGGCCTTGCCCGAGAAAGGTCAGAGGATGGGGGATCCACG